ATTTCCTTATAGAGAATTGGCCTCATACATTCCGATCACTCTTATTCTTATTTCGGCAATAGTCCCCATCCGATATTTTGACGTTTCTTTTAATGTTTGCCTCAGATCATTTCCAGCTAATTGCTTGTCTTCGGCTGACACTCTTGTTCTATAAAATTAATTTGTCCCGAAATATAAGGATTTTTCCTTTAGTATGTCTAAAGGTATTGTTATAGAAAAAATATTTTCCCAGTTTTGATGATTTTTTTAAGAAAGTGCCATAAGCATTTTTCTGTAAATAGGTCCTTTGTTCAGATTTTTTTTTACATAAAAATACTTGTTCACAGTTCACATAATGTAGATCTGTCTCTAGTTCTAAGGGGACATATAAAAAGAGTTTTTTCGTACATCATTTGCCGTAAGTCGTAAGACTATTTTTTTGATAGATATATCAGATATCAGCCTTGAGACTTTTGAAATAGCAGAAATATGCCCACAGTTCCTGAGAACTTTTATATAAGTAAAACATCTGTACACAGTTCTGAGGATCTGCAGGTGGACTTTCATCATCTAATTGATGTTTTTTTTCACATTAAAATAGACGATATTCTATAAATGGAAATCCTTCTACTTATCTTCTATAAAATAAAGTCATTCCGCTCGACTTCTATAAACAAAAAACTTCTGCAGATCTTTTATAGACAGTAAAGGTTTCTTTTGTGTTTTATTAGTCTTCCATAGATTTAAGACTACATAAACCTTTTAAAGATAAGGGGACTTCTTCTTGGGGAAGCACATCCACATGTACTTTATAGATAAAAAATGGCTACATGTCTTCTATAAAGAGAAGAACTTACACATCTTGGAAAATTGCCTTCCACAGGTCACCTGCAAATGTCTTTTATAGGCAGACTGTCATCAAGTGTTCTGTAGTCTGAAGGCCTTCTAAAGCATTTAATAGACAGGCTATCCTCAGGAATGCCTTCTGCTATTATTATATATATACCATTTACAGTTCATCTATAGAAAATATCTCTCACATGTCTTATATTCACACAATATGTCTTTATCGAAACAAATTGTTTATGTTCGGTTTTTCCATTAATATAATACCTTGTGCAGGTTGCCTTCTAAAATAATTTATAAATGCCTATATTTAGATCTTTTATTTCCTAAAACACTGTCACTTAAATATTTTTCCAAGAATTGAAAAATTTTTTGCTTATGTATTTTTCATTTTGTATTTTATGCAATTTTATCCTCTTTCACACAACGACAAGCAAAACAAAAAAATTGGGTCATTGCCAAAATAACAACATCACTCCAATGACTGCCTGTGTTTCCACTCTAGCCAGTCATTTTTGTAACATCATCAGGACCAACGTGACCATTGATGTGTTAGTTCTCTATTTTTTTGGGTCAATTCGCAACAGATTTTATTTACTGGAAACTTTAGTTTTCTATTTTATGCAATATCCAGTGTTTTTACCCAAGTTATATTTCATCATGTTTTCAGTTTTTGTTTTGGTCGAGAACAACACCCACAATTTGTCGTTATAGTTGTCTGAAATATATCATCATGGATGGTATATAAATGTCGAACTTTTGACTTTTTTTCTGTCGTTGGTTTTAATTTAAATTGTTAGTTTTTTGTGTGCGAGTAGAACTCATGTTTTTTTAAGGATTCTTTAGATTGTGTTATTTGTTGTTTTGGTGTTTCCCTGGGAATAATATTTTTCTTTGTGGTTCTTGTGTCCATTTCAAATGGACATCACCATCATCAGTTGGTGGTTTTTATTGTTTGTTTAAGAGAAGGCACCACACATTTTGTGGCCAATTATTTAAGTATCTCTCTCTGCCAATTGGGGCGGAAAGTAGCCATTGTGAGGATTGGTCTTGGGTAAATTGCTTATGGGGAGCAATACATCACAATAGAAATGAAAAAATATGAATTTATTTATTATTTTAATTAAATGACAATTTTTGAGTCACTCATAAGATTAACAGAAGAATTTCGAAAGAAGAATGGACTATTTAGACCGAACTTTCATTTATGGAACATATTTTGCATACAAAAACCTTCTACAGGTCTTCAATAAATAGGCTAGTCCATATATAGAAGATCTCCCACAGAAAGATTTTCTACAAACGGAAGACATTCTACAGACCAGAAGACTATCTACATCTATAGATAGAATATTCTATACAGTGGTCTCCAATAGACCTCTCAGTGGTCTCCTTTGTACAGAAGACTTTCCACTGGTCTTCAATGGGTAAATCACCTCCCACATGAATTTCATAGATAGAAAACCTTACAAAAAATATCCCACAGATCTTTCGGAGTAATCCGAACTTCTACACGTCTTCTATGGGTAGAATACTTCCACAGTGCTTTCCACAAGTTGTCTAAAGATAAGATCTTCCACGGATTCTATGTATGGAGAACCACATACCCATGTCTTTATTGGTTGAAAAATATTTACATGCCATCTATAGAGAGAAGAACTTCCACATTTTGTAAATGACCTTCCACAGGTCTCCCGCAAACAGAAGACATTGCACAGGCTTTATATAGACAGACTATCCTCATGTTTTCTGCAGACTGGAGGCCTTCTTCAGGTCTTCTGAAGAAGACTGAAGGCCTTCATAGAAGGCGTCTAAGACATTTAATATACAGACAAACTCAGATCTGTCTTTCGTAGAGCATCTTCCCTGTAGACTGAAGTCCTCTAAAAATATTCTTTAAAAATCGGCTTATTGGTCGGGATAGTTCTTCGAAGAATATTCTTTAAAAATCTACGCACATGACTCTGATAGTCTTTCTAAAAATATTCTTTAAAAATCAACACTTATTAGTCGGGATAGTTCTTCAAAAATACACCTTATAAATACACGCCTTCGGGCAGGATAATCCTTCTAATAAAATTTTTTAAACATCCACGCATTCGGGCTGAACAGCCCTCTTAAAAATATTGTTTAAAAATACTCTCTTCAAATATTCTTTAAAATTCCACGTTTATAGATCGGGATAGTTCTTAAAAATATTCTCCAAAAATCTTGTTCCGGATAGTCCTTCTAAAAATATTCTACACTAATGCACGCTTAATTGTCGGGGTAGTTTTTAAAAAAAAATATATATATTTTTTTTTAAATCCACGCGTATAGGCCGGGATAGTCCTTCTGAAAACATTCTTCAAAAATCATGTTCCGGATAGTCCTTCTAAAAATATTCCTTAAAAATCCTCGCGTTTTGTTCCGAATATTCCTTCCAAAAATATTCTTAAAAAGTCAATCTTTAATGTTCACTGAAATATTCAAACGAAATCCCAGCTTATTGTCCTCTTCGTAGAAATTCGGAAAACGATTCCCCGAAAACTTCAGACGAACCAATTAAATCGTACTACTCAATCTCGACGTCAAAACAGCGCCACCCAGATGAAAATAGAAATACTAAATAAGCAAGGACCACAACCTTTGCTTAAAATTAAAGTATGCGTTTTTACTAGGCAACGATAGATGGCAGCTCATCAACAAATGTAAAATTGGAATAGGATGAGATAGCGCCACCCACAATCTATGCTCAAAATTCAAGAAGGCATTGTCCTAGACAACAATAGATGGAAGTCCATCAACAAATATAAAATAGGAATAGCAGGAGATAACACCACTTAAAGGAAAATGACATCACTAAATAAGCAAGGACCCCAACTCTTGCTTAAAATTTAGGTGCGTTATTTCTAGACAACAATGGGTGGTAGACCTGGGGCATTCTATAGCAGATCAATCATAAACATAAAGACAGTGATTAATGAAACTAACGCAATTATTAATAGAATAAGATGACGATGATATGGGGAAGACCTATGCTAACAAGTAGTAAAAAAATCAAATGGTACTTCATCGCTAAAAACTTAAGTGAATTAATGCATCTCGATAGATGATAATCAACGTCAAAGTTGTAAAAATTAAAGCACAAAAATGTTTTCGATTTAATTCCATTATTTGGCCATGTCACTATAAACGACAAAACAAAGAAGATCCTCAACGGGAAGATAACAATTCTCCAATGATCTTATATATATATATATATATATATATATATAAAATATTTCAACACTTCTTTTTCATGGGGAACAACTTTCCTACATGAAAATCCATTAGCCTGACAACAAAATAAATATCCTCTAATATATCTCCATCTTCTCCTCAATTTAAATCTTCCTGATGGAAATTTGCTTAATGGGGTTTTATATTTCACCATCATTCTGTCAGATAATAACATTATCGGAACAATATTTCAAATCTGTGGCCAAATTGCAATTGCTGAAGTCTCTGGGTGATAAAACATATTAATTATTTTCATTGTCAAATGTGTAGCGCCCGTGTCGTTGTTGTTGCTGTCCACAATGGATCGACGACTTTCATCTGACTTGCAAAAGACATTTTCATGTTGTTGTTGTCGTTTGTCGTTCGAACTATCTAATTGGATGTGCATCAAACAGGAGTCCCAGTGCTAATGGCTCACTCGTTTGGGGAGGTGCAGTGGGGGGTCTCACTTCAATTTCATTGAATGACCTTCCAGCAAGGATTTTATAGAGTTGTTGGCAGTAGTAGTAGTACTAGTGATATAAATTAAATATTCAGGAGCATTTGTATGCACCGAAGACGACCGTCGACCAGAGAGAGCATTTCCCAACAAATAACCAACTGACAAAGTGAATAGCGAACATTTGCATTTGGGGGTAAGGGGCACATGGTTGTCACCCATCTATCTACTTATGTATGGAATGCAAAGCGTGTGTATCCATTTGTTGTTGTATACCCTCTGGCATACAGAGATCCTTGTGGAAAAAAATAAATATCCTTTCACATTTATGCTGTTGTTTTTTATATATACAAATGTTATATGCATTTGTTCTATATATTTGTCTTCTTATGTATTTATTAAAGTTGTGTTTTTTTCGTTTTCCTTTTTCTTCTTTTTTGCATTCTCAACTTCTGTCTGATGCTGCAAATTGCAGGCGATGTGGAAAGCGCTCTATCTATGACAAATGAATTGTTGCAACTGCTACCCACGCATGAACGTGCCAATGGCAATAAAGTTTACTATGAAAAGGAGCTGAAAGAGCTATCTGCCAAGAAAAAGGTCAAAGGTGATGACGGCAGTGATGAAACACCCAAATCGGATTTGGTAAGTTAAAAAATAAAACTGGCTAACAACGAAAAAACACACACAGACAATTTTTTAAAATGAAAACTCACCTCCATTCCCCACTTCTTACTTACAGCCCATTGCCAAGGCCGAACCATCAATATACGACTACACTGAACGCAAAGCCTATGAGCTGCTGTGCCAAGGCAAACTGAAGCCCACACCAGATCAGTTGAGACCATTGCGTTGCCGTTATGTTGACAATAATGTGCCCTTCTTGAAAATAGGTCCCATGAAATTGGAAGAAGCCTCAAAGGATCCCTATATTGTCATCTATCATGACGCTATGTTTGATTCGGAAATTGAATTAATTAAGAAAATGGCTAGACCACGTTTCCGTAGAGCTACCGTGCAAAATGCCATTACTGGAGAATTGGAAACCGCTAATTATCGTATTAGTAAATCGGCTTGGTTGCGTACCGAAGAATCTCCCGTTATTGCTAATATTGTTCAGCGTACCGAAGATATGACCGGATTGGATATGTTATCCGCTGAGGAGTTGCAAGTTGTTAACTATGGCATCGGTGGTCATTATGAACCACATTTCGATTTTGCAAGAGTAAGTATTTAGAAAAATTACATTATCAGAGTGGCAATCAGTTATCCTCCAACTATCCAGGAACTTTTTATAATATATGATATGAAAAAAGCTTTAAAATTGGCTCCATTTCTGCGACCAAATTTCAATTTAATTTCATTTTTGCCAGTATTATTTCGTGATTCAAGATTAGGATATAATCGTTGGACCTTAGTGTTACAAGGATTCGAATTTGACCATTTTTGACGTTGTCGTGCTATAGGCTCTTTTAAAAGTTGTCAATGAAAATAATTCGATGTGGGTCCCATACTAAAGAGTCTATAAATTCAATAATTGAGAGGAGTAAATTGATGGAAACAGGGTTCATTTATTTCGACTGAAAATAATGTACCTACTTAGCTGACTCGAAGCAGCACATTGGTTCCATAAGCCGAACTTAGAAAATATTTCTAGGCGCGTCGATCTTGTGCGCAGTTTTTCCAATTTGAAAGACCATGCTTTTGTCGTCCTTCACTTGATCTTTCCATCGAATTCGTGGCCTTCCCCTTCTGCGTGAACCATCTGTGAACTTTTATATGCCTTTTGAGCTGGAGCATCCTCTTGCATTCGCTCAACATGGTCTAACCACGGTAGTCGCTGCAGCTCGATACGACTATTATTCACCGCGGACGCAGATCGGCCGTAGATCTTTCGGAGAATTTTTCTCTCCTCATCTGCTTGCGCAAGTATACATGCTTCTGATCCATACACCAGCACAGGTAATAACACCGTCTTGTAGAGTGTGAGTTTGGTCTGGCGGGAGGTGGCCTTTGTTTCTAAACAGTTTTCTGAGACCAGTTTTAGTTTTATTTCTGGTGTTACCGAGGTATATAACATTTTTGCCTACCTCGAAGCTGTAGTATTCAAGTTCCACAATTGGTTCGAGTCTATTAGATATGTCTTGCGCGTTGATATCATCAGCTTGGTCTTCTCGCCATTTACTGCCAGACCAGCTTTGGCAGACTCCGCAATTTGTTAAAATGTGGCTATTACCGCTCTCAATGTTCGATCCATTATATCGATGTCATCGGCGTAGGCGAGTAACATGTGTTGTTTGATGTACAGAGTGGCATTTCTATCCGGCATAGCCGCATTAATTTTGCAGGAATGCCGAACGCAGACATGACTTTTAATATCTCTGAACGGATAGGGCTGTCGAATGCGGGTTTATAGTCTACGAATAGGTGGAATGTATCGATGTGTTTTCGTGGGTCTTTTCCAAGATCTGGCGCAGAGTGAAAATCCTGTCAATAGTATATTTGATATGCCTGAAGCTGCATTGGTATGCGGCCAATAATGTCATTGTCCATTGGCAGACTTATTCCTCTATATCTTATTTTCTTTTTTGGTGCACGGGACACAGGATGCTGAGGTTCCAATCATTGGACAAGCATTCCTCTAGACAAATTTTACTAATCATCTGGTGCATGCCCCTGACCAGCATCTGACCACCGGTATTGAATAGATCGGCTAATCACCCACCGCGACCTGCTGCTTTATTATTCTTCAGCCGACTGATTAATATTCTAACCTCATCTTGGCTAGGTGGTATACACTCTATATCGTCATCTCTTACTGGCTCTGGGGTATCTTCTTAACCGCCACTACTTGATACCAGATGCTTCGCAAAATGCTCCTTCCAGATCCTTAACACGCTATCCGCTCACGTTATTCTTCCTTTTTCTTTTTTTTCTGAAAATACGTTTCTACTTTTCTGCCGATAATTCTCTCTGACATTACTTGTTGCTACTGTCTGCACGGTTTTTCACAACAGTAGCATATTACGACACTGCTGATCGTACCATGGGTTTCTTGATAATGGTCTTTGGTACCCAAATGTTGATTTTGCTTCAGTTTTTAGGTAGTGGGCAATTGTGTTTCTATATTATTATTATCGGGACAAGGAGTGTTTTCGTCAGCAGGTTGGTAAGTTGAGCGGAGTTGGCTTCTGCAACTTGTTGTGTCTGCAGCTTTTCGACGTCAAGTTTCCGCGTTGTGATAGATCGCACCTTTGCTACATTAAGACGAGAGCGAACCTTGGTTACTACAAGGTAGTGGTCTGAATCGATATACGCTCCTCGGATCGATCGAACGTCTAAAACACTCTATGAATGCCTTCCGTCTATCATAACATGATCGATTTGATTTCTCGTTGTTCGATCAGGAGAAATCCAGGTGGCCTTGTGTATATCGAGATGCTTGAATCTGGTGCTGCTAACTACCATGTTTTTTACTGCCTCGAAGTCAATCAACCATATGTCGTTGTCAAATGTTTCTTCATGGAGGCTGAATTTTCCGACGATGGGGCCAGTGATATTTTCCCTTCCCAGTTTTGCATTAAAATTTCCTAGCAGTATTTTAATGTCATGGCCAGGGCAACGGTCATATGCTGTTTTAGGCGCTCGTAAAATATGTCTTTGGTCTGTTCATCTTTATCTTCGGTCGGAGCATAGGCGCAAATGAGACTGATGTAGAAGAACTTTGCTTTTATACGGATTATAGCAATATGCTCATCTACTGGGGTGAATCTGGAGACGAGGTCTTTTATTCTCCTGTTAACCATAAATCCGCAGCCAAATTCATGTCTCGTTTCATGCTATTATACAGGGCGTAATCGTCTGATTTACTTACGCCTGTCCCTTTCCATTGTATTTCCTGTAAGGCAATAATATCGGCTTTGTACTTCTTGAGTATATCCGCCAAAGTGAACACTGCGCCTGTTCTGTACAACGTGCGCACATTCCAAGTGCAGATTCGCAGATCGTGGTCCTTTATACGTTTGAGGGGGTCGTCAACATTAGGGGGGTTTGGTTTTCTTTTTCTTAGCTTTTTCATAGTAGGTTGGGTTTTCCGAGAGTGGGCAACTAACCCGACGCCTCAACCCACTTTTTATAGTTCTTATGGGTGAACTCGCGGCACATATTAGCTCACTATTTCATCGGGTGATGAGAATAGCTCCCCAGGTGGCACCGCGGGGAGGTCAGTGTCCACAATTGAGATGAAAGAGGGACCAAAATAAGCCTGGACTTCGCCATGTTAAAGCCAATCAGAGCCGTTGCTTGGTATCTATCATCCCCTACGCCACCCCTGAGTACGTCCACCAAAACGAGAACTGCGCCAGTTCTGTACAACGTGCGCATATTCCAAGTGATCCTTTCTGTGGGAAAATGCAGCTAAACCCTTCAAAGTCAAGAAAATGGAGCGGGAGTCATACCAAAACGAAAACCTAAATTGATCATTTTTTTTGTAAAAAGATTTGACCCCTGAAAGAGAGAACCCAAATCCGTACCGAAATTTTCAAAATACCGAATAATGAGGGACACCAAATTTTTTTTTCCTCTCTCTCGGTTGACAAAAACAAATTGATTCTTCCGAAGAATAAAACCAGCACAACTATTCGTTGTTGGGCTGTGTTTTGTTTTGGTAACGACCTCCTCTCTCCCCTCAATTGGTGATTGTTAGTTTTGTAACCGTTTTTTGACTACTGTTTATCTTGCTAACAATCGTCATCTCTCCAATCACTCGATTGTGGTTTGTGTTGCATTCCATTGTTTCCTTATATCAGACACTACTACCGACCTCTCCATTGGTCTTATAAAATTCGCATACGCATTTTCCAAATTATTTCGATAAAAGTGCTAAATTCAATTTGTAAAACAAGTGAACAAGTGGGTTGACTAACAAGCCGAATGTTTACAATAACATTTTCCCAATTTTTACGAATCAGTCCAAATACATTTCAGATCTATTTGATAATACTATTGATTTGTGTTCAAGTTTTGTTCCTCTAACTCAAAAATTTGACCCACGGCGACAAATCACAATTTTGGGTACTTGATGGACTTTCATTCCAAAATATTAAAAAAAATATACGATAACACTGAATTACAAAATCTATCTTAAATTGTGGAAATGTAATATTGATTTAGCATTTTATTCTGATGTCGAATTTTACCCAGATGCACATACATTCGATGTGTGTGTCGTAAAAAATCAATACAAATAGCTTTAAATATATATGTCGCAGTTGGACATTTCATGCGTATCAATATTCGTTGTATTACTTTTACACACTGCATTACATAGTACACACATTTATACTAACATTCACTTATTCCTTTTTTCCATTAATTTTTTTGCAGCGTGAAGAAGTACGTGCCTTCCAGGGTTTGAATACTGGTAATCGCATTGCCACAGTATTATTCTATGTGAGTATGAAAATATTTAAAAAAAAATGTTAAAAAATAAAAAAAATTAACATTTTATTTTCTTCTATTCTTTACAGATGAGCGATGTTGAGCAGGGTGGTGCCACCGTATTCACAGCCATCAATACCGCCTTGTGGCCCAAAAAGGGAACAGCAGCTTTCTGGTATAATTTGCATCGTTCCGGCGATGGTGATTATCGTACACGACATGCAGCTTGTCCTGTATTGACTGGATCGAAGTGGGGTAGGTTTTCAATTCATAATTGGAATTTTATTTGGATATTTTTTGATATTAATTTGTTTGTATTTTTTCTTTTAGTTTCCAACAAATGGATCCACGAAGCCCGCCAAGAATTCAGACGCCCCTGTGATTTGGAACCTGATCATGGCGAATTTGCCATATAGTGCAATTCCTCATATTGTTTAATTTTAAATATATTTTAAAAAAATATTGAAACGACTTTTCCATTTGCATTCGCCTGCTATAGATTATATCAATAATTTTTTATCTAATTATACTCGCCTGTCTTTTTAAAGAGCATTTATTATAACTGCGTTTTTTGTATGTGAAACTTATTTTTTAAAACTCCAACAACAATCCTATGTGCTTAATGTCAATTTCTTTAAGAAAACATAAAACCATAACTTCATTTTATGTTTTCTTGAATAAACAATTTAAAACTGCTTGTGCAATTCGAAAACTTTGAATCTCGTTGTAAAACAAAATTTCCATAAACATTATTTTCTTCCATTTCATTCTCTATTTCCCACCTCTCTTTCTCTACCACCAATTTTTTTTATCTCTCAATCGCCATTTACTTGTGCAATTTTTTCTTTAGTTTTTTTTTCCTTAGGTATAAATAATGTATAAACATTTTTCTGACAAAAAAAATAAAATATTTGAGATGTGAAAAAATACCAAATATCCAAGTGAACGAATTACAATAAATAAATTAGAAAAAAAGTTATATTACTAATAATTTTTCCACCCAAAATTGCAGTACAGACATACATACTTAATAGCGAACATGTTTGTCTTCAATATTTTTTTCTGTCATTAGCAATAAAACAAATATATATAAAATGTATTGTAAATTTACATGTTTTAAGATAGATGATAATAAAAATTTTGAAAAATATCCGTGTATTTTTTATTAATTTTTAAGGTGCGAAGGGGATTTAAGGGAACCCCACCCATTCTCGATTTCAATTTTTCAAGATCTTCAATGGACTGGTAAATCAATGCCAATGCTTGTTAAGGTTTGTAACTTTGCACATCTATATTTGAAGATTTAAAAGAGAAGAAAAATAATTTACAAACAAATTTTGTAATTGTTTTGTTGTTGTTTTTTGTAATTAAACAAAAGTCCTTATTTTTGATGGCGGGCATGATAACTCCTCACTGGAACATCGCAATCCGAATATTCCAATGGTGTTAGAAAGAGTACATGTCTGGCTCTTGTATGATTATTGACTTCGCTCTAAAATTAACAAAATGGCGGACCATTAAAAAAATATTTTTGGAAAATCGCCGATTTTTGACCAAAAACCCAGTTTAAAAAATAAGGAAGATCTTCAGCGATTGGCTTTATCCTAGTTCATACGATAGCTATATATTCACAGAGAATCGTCCCAAAATTTGGAATCGATCGGATCATTACTTTTTGAGTTATCGTGCACGCCATTCGCAAGAGAGAAAAACGCGTTTAAAGTTTGAGAAGCCCGTCACTTGATGCTGACACAATAAATCGGCTATATTTTCAAGAGTTCTTCAGATTTTCACTTGAAATTTTGTAGGGACATTCTTGAATTAGAGTAGATACGAATTAAATAAAAAAAATTGACCCCGAGAATGGGTGGTCCCCTTTATTTTTTTACAAAGCCATAAGGCGTGGATTTTTATAGCCTTCACCACACTGTGGTCCAGGGTATTATGTCTTTGTGCATAGCATATGTTTATGATAGGCAAAAGGAATCGAGATATGAATAAGGTCCTGACTGATGTCTGCGAAGTTTTGTTAAAATCAGTTCAGATTTAGATATAGCTCCCATATATAGTTTCGTCCGATTTTCTGGTGAATGATACACCAAACTCCCAATATTTGCCGATTGGGACAACATTTTGCACAGAGTTCTGATCGAAGTGGGCTAGGTTCTAATTTAGGTCCAGACAGATGTCTGCTAAGTTTATTTAAAATCTGTTCAGATTTAGATATAGCAGCTCCCATATATATAATCGTCCGATTTTATGTGAATGATGCACCAAACTCCCAATATTTGTCCGATTGACACAAAATTTTGCACAGAGATCTGAATTAGGTCCAGACTGATGTCTGCGAAGTTTTTTTAAAAACGGGTCAGATTTAGATATAGCTCCCATATATAGTTTCGTCCGATTTTTTGGTGAATGACACAAACTCCCAATATTTGTCCGATTGGGGCAAAATTTAGCACAGAGTACTGATTTAGGTCCAGACTAATGTCTGCGAAGATTAGTTAAAATCGGTTCCGATTTAGATATAGCTCCCATATATAGATTCGTCCGATTTTTTGCGAATGATACACCAAACTCCCAATATTTGTCCGTTTGGCACAAAATTTTGTACAGAGTACTGAATTAGGTCCAGACTAATGTATGCGAAGTTTTGTTGAAATCGATTCAGATTTAGATATATATCTCCCATATATAGATTCGTCCGATTTTTTGCGAATGATACACCAAACTCCCAATATTTGTCCGTTTGGCACAAAATTTTGCACAGAGTACTGATTTAGGTCCAGACTAATGTATGCGAAGTTTAGTTAAAATCAGTTCCGGTTTAGACATAGCTACCATATATATAGTTTCGTCCGATTTGCACAAAATTTTTTTTTTTTTTGAAATCGATTCAGATTTAGATATAGCTACCATATATATTTTCGTCCGATTTTATGTAAATGATGCACCAAACTCCCAATATTTTTCCGATTGGGACAAAATTTTGCACAGAGTACTGATTTAGGACCAGACTGATGTCTGCAAAGTTTTGTTTTTTAAATCGGTTCAGATTTAGATATAGCTCCTATATATAGTTCCGTCCGATTTTTTGGTGAATGATACACCAAACTCCCAATATTTGTCTGATTGAGTAAAATTTTGCATAGCGAATTCTATTGAGAAAAGATGATACGTGATAAGGTTTTTTGAAATCGGTTCAGATTTTTTATATAGGTCTTATATAGTTTCGTTCGATTTTATGTAAATGGTGGTTACACGAAATTTGGCAAAGGGTATTAAATTGAATATAGTGATTACAAAAAACAAATGGTGTATGCAACGGTTAATCAATTAGGTCCATGTATTTATATATAGCTACCATACATAATTTGACTCGATTTCATACAAATGGTACCCCAAAGAATCCAAGTCTGGCCGTTTGACATGCAATTTTTCATTGATTTTAGAGTGGTATGTGTATGGGGTTTTTCAATTGGTTCAAATATTTATCTAGATAGCACATTTAATTTCGCCCGATTCCATCTCAATGGTCCTCCAACGATTCTATGACCGTTCTATCTACAGCATATTGTAGATATTAACATGGCCAAAGTGGTGAAGGGTATCATATAGTCGGCCCCGTCCTACTTTTGAACCTTCCTTACTGGTTAAAATAATATATTTTTTTAAACGAATATTTTTCCACAAAGCCATAAGGCGTGGATTTTTTAAAAGAATATTTTTCCACAAAGCCATAAGGCGTGGATTTTTTAAAAGAATATTTTTCCACAAAGCCATAAGGCGTGGATTTTTTAAAAGAATATTTTTCCACAAAGCCATAAGGCGTGGATTTTTTAAAAGAATATTTTTCCACAAAGCCATAAGGCGTGGATTTTTTAAAAGAATATTTTTCCACAAAGCCATAAGGCGTGGATTTTTTAAAAGAATATTTTTCCACAAAGCCATAAGGCGTGGATTTTTTAAAAGAATATTTGTCCTACAAATTATCTACAATTATTAGCCATAGTATAATATTCTAAACGCTTTAATATTTTTCAAAATTAACAATTCTCATATTATCTCTCCCATTAAAACTTTATTAATATGATACTTATCATTTGAAAATCACATCGATTTATATCAAGTGGGCATTATAAAAAGAGACAAAATATATTCCCTGGTTTCACATTCTGCTAATACCCTTCTACTAATAATCACAACAATAACAACATTTTATCGTACAAATGCACTTCAGAAGTTCAAAGTGGTCTTTGTTGGTTACATCTGTGGGTACTATAAAAGCGGGAATATTTTTTTTCATTCCGACACAGTTGTTACCAGTCACAAATCAAACAAATCTTGGAGAGAAACAAATTAGCAATGCGTTTCTTAGTCACCTGTGTTCTCTTGGCATTGGCTCTTTGCAGCGCCGTGGAGTGTCATGAGGATATTTTTAAACGACTAGCTGAGGATATTGTAAGTATAGACATTTTGAATAAACATGTTCATTTTTAATACATGAATTTTGTAGAAACATGTCGCCGACAAATTTGCCCATGATGTGAAACATGGTTTCCATGATTTTGGCGATGATGTGGTAACTTTTTTTATTCTGCTATTTATTTATTTCATTTTATGAAATATTATCGTAAATGATGATGATGATTTACTTTAGAAACATGTTGCTGACGAATTTGGTCATGATGTCAAAGATGCGGTCCATGATACTGAAGATGCCCTGAAGAAATTTGGTGATGATGTTGATAAACTGGTAAAGGATTTCCGTCATGATGTTGCCACTGCTTGGGTCAAAGCTAAACCCTATCTGAAGGAGGCCTATGTCATTGTTGGTGGTGTTACCAAAACCTTGGCAGAGATTGCTGAAATCGCTGAATTATTTATGTTATTTGATTTGGTTTAAAATAAAAACAAAATATTTGTAATAAACGTAATTAAGCATACCCTATTTATTTATTTTTTTTTTCGTTTAAAATTCTACGATCTTAAAACCCTTATTTTTAAAATAAATTTGAACATTTCTGAAGATATTATCTACAAATTGCACATCGTGATATTTTTACCAAACCTAGACCAAGTACAACCAGTAAGGAAAGTAGTAAAGTCGCATTGGGCTGACTATATGATACCCTTCAACAATTTGGGTATGTTCTACATATCGCTCATTTGCTGCAAGACAGGCATAACTCAAAAAATGTGATTTTCGAGTTAATGATGCACGATTGTTCGCTATAATAGACGGCATGTTATGTAAAAAAGGCATATGAATATCTCTTACACACTCTAATTGAGAAGCTGTAGAAGTTCCTCAGTCCCATATAAAGTGTGAATAAATTGAAAACATAAAACGCGTTTTCTGCAAAATCGCTTTTTACACACTGCGATACAGGGTATTACGTCTTTGTGCATATGTTTGTAACAGGCAAAAGGAAGCGAGATAGACACATGGTTCCTTTTGAGAATATGTATAGAATCACTTTCTGAGTCGATTTATGCATGTCCGTCCGTCTGTAGACGTTAAATTGTAAACAAAGTACAGGTCGCATTTATGATTTGAATTGAATGAAATTTGGCATAGATCATTTATTTGGCCCAAGGACGAACCCTATTGAAATTGGTGATCGGTTCAGATTTATATATAGCTCCCATATATATTTTCATCCGATATAGGCACCAGAGTCCCTATATATCTCTCGATTTGCACGAAATTTGGCACAGAGTACAGAATTAGGTCCAGAACGATGTGTATTAAGTTTTGTGAAAATCGGTTCAGTTTTAGATAAAGCTCTCAAATATAGTTTTGTTCGATTTTATGTAAATGGTGCACCAAAGTCCCTATATCTCTCGATTTGTAGAAATTTGACATAGAGTAGTGAATTAAGCCTAGAACTATGTGTGTTAAGTTTCGAGAAAATCGTCCGCTTTTAGGTAAATCGTGCAACAAAGTCCCAATATATCTTTCGATTTCACGAAATTTGCATGGCGTACTAAATTAAGTGTAGAATGATGAATGATGATGAACCTGAAATTCGGTTCATATCTTTCGATTTCTACCATATTTGGCATAGCGTACTAAATTGAGTCTGGAATGAGGTGTGTTATGTTTCGAGAATATCGGTTCAGATTTAGATATGGGTCCCACATATATATTTTAGTCCGATTTTAGGTAAATGGTGCACCAAACTCCTAATGTTTGTCCGATTAACACGACGGTTTGCACAACGTACCATAATATTTCGAACGGATGTCTGATTGAGATTATATTTTTAACAGTGCGGCATACTGAATCTATAAATCGAATTCCTTAAATCTGATTGAAATTAAATTTAGCATAGGTTGACATGACATGAAATTGTTAGGATACACATATACAATATACATATAGTGGTGAAGGGTATCATATAGTCGACCAAGTCCGACTTTACTAATTTCCTTACTGGTTTGAGCTATGCCTGTCTTGCAGCAAATGAGCGATATGTATCCTAACATTCTAGTATCAATTTGATACAAACACTAAATAGATCTACTGCGGTGACAAGTGACGCCTAAGGTTATGCTACGTTTTTTTAAACTTTAGTTTTATGTCGTACCGAATATTTTTTATGTATTCGGGCGAACACCAGGCAGTTCAAATATAAATGATACTTATTCAAACGGTCTATTATAAAATCAAAGCCGAAATAAATTTTAATATGGAATATCGGATCGGTTATAATCCTGTTAATATATATATATATATATTGGTTGGGAAAAAATCCATTATTTTTAGATGAACTATGAGACTTTATTTACCATGCTTCGGAATGGTTGATTTGGACAAATATGCACCGTTTTGTTGCATGAGAAGTCCTGCTCTCTATTTGCAAAAAACTCTAGTAGTCGATTTTCACAAGCCTCCCGAGATACCAATTTTTTCATCATAAAAGAAATTTTGCAATGCAAGAAAATTTATGATAATCACTTGGTGCCAAGTCCGGACTGTATGGCGGATACATAAAAAATTCCCAACGAAGCCCTCGAAGTTTCTGGCGAGTCACTGTAGATGTGTGTACCCTAGCGTTGTTCTAGTGGAACACGACACCTCTTTTGTTGGCCGATTCGGGCCGTTTCTGTCAATTGCTATCTTCAAACGGTCCAGTTGCTGACAGTAGAGATCAGAATTTAGCATTTGGCCATATGGAAGCAACGCATAATAATCCCCTTCCAGTCTTTCTGGCCGTTAGTCCTGGTTTGACCACCGTTTGAGGTGCTTCACTGCTCTTTGATCACGATCGTTTTCGCTTAGGGTTATATTATGTGATCCATTTCTCATCTCCAGTCACCATCCTATTAAGAAATGGTTCTATCTCATTCCGTTTGACCATGGCTTCGCAGATGGAAACTCGATCCATCCTATTGTTGTTCCTGTTATTTGGTGTGGCGCCCAAACATCTATCTTCTTTTTTAATCCAGCTTTGTGTAAAACTGGGCAATATTACGACTGCTAACATGCCGGTCTACTTCGATAATTTCTCCGATTTTATCGACCGGCCTAATGTATTTCTTTTTCCCCAACCTAATATATGAATACGTAGACACCTGTAAATGTTTACAACTCCCATATCCGAATACACACAACAATATAATTGGTATTAATTTAAAGACCAACCACTTCTCGTGGATATACTATCAACTTCTCGGATCTATGCCCTTCAGGAGGAAAAATATACGCCACAGAATACAAATTTTTACAATTTTCACACAAAAATCAGGGTCCATTTGACCCGCTAAAATATTGCCCGATATTTATCAAAACATATTTGGGACATAATTGCGGCCTCTGGAGCGATCATTAAAAACCGACAAAAATTAAGTATTTGGTCGATTTCATCCCCTAAATATTAAAGGGCGCTTTTCCAAAAATATAGCGATATAGGGGTCTTCTTTGGCCATAACCTGACCTACATTCAAATAAAATCGTATTTACATATTATAATGTGCAGACGGACGGGTGGACACACACGTCTAGATTGATTTATCTAGTAGAGATATGATGATCGGTATTCTTACCAACATAGTTGTGTAGGGTATAAAACTAATATTTTATTTCATAGCAATATTTAATATTAATATTAGACACAATCTTTGGTTTATGTATTATTGGTATAAAACTATGGCACGTCTTAATTAAAATTTAAAAACGTGCTGAAAATCCCTAAAGTACCAAATAAACGGCGATGCGTTTATATGGGGTCTATTCCGAAATTTAAGTTAATATTGATAGCTTTCGATACGAAGATTTCCCACCGAATGAGAATTCAAAATACTAAATTACAGCCAATTTGGTTGGAAAACAAAATTGCCAAAAACAAAATTAGGGTACCGAAATTTTCGGAATCGACTCGGAAAGTGATTCCATGTATATTCTACGGGTCTATCTTGCTTCTTTGTACCACGGATTGGTGTAGGTTTTTAATGTTGAAACTAATTATTGAATTTAATAATGTGTTATTAAATACAATCATGAAATTTTGGTACAAATGTCAAGGAGAGACTTTCTCCACAAATTGCCTCTATTTTATTTTCCTCCAATTTAAACATGACACAAAATTAATGACAGAAAAAAATAAAGACGTGTCAAAAGAACACACTTTCAGACAGCAACTTTAGAATTAATGTTATTTGAACAGCTTGAATTTCGTTTACTCGAAAGTAAACATGACACACAGAAGCGACAGCAGCCACACGATTACCTACCACCTATCAAAGGAAGCGTACAAATAGTTTCTTCTTTTATGTTCTCCTCCCCACAAACACTCTTGGCAATTCACTTTCAATGGTAGTGCTCGATAAGACAAATTTTTCGAATTTCAGTTACCCAAATAGCAGCACACATTCAACATCACATCATCAGCCTGAACAAGAAAACATCATCATCGGCCAAACCATCTTTGGTATCATTCGAAGAGCTAACAACTATTTAGCCAAAAGACGAGTAGAAGTAGTAGTTGGCTGGCTCAAATAACATCAATACCAAATCCAACGACCTTTTAACCAATAGCGTTTAAACATCGACACCAACACAGGACCCATAATCTAGTTTAGAATTATTATTGGCACTCCTCAGTGTTGGTATCTCTCAGCATGACATCAAATAGGATATATTGTCGTCGTCGTTGTCGTCCTTTTGTATCGTATGTGGCTCTATCGGTTTTCCTGATGCTATTGTTGCCATCAAATCTGCCGGTACATGGAGAATTCTATTCATCCATCGATAGTTTAAAACGTTTGGATAGCATTGAGTCATCGTTGTTGTTAAGTTTCCGGAAGTACTCAGAAGGACTGGAGGATTACATATCCATTATACGAAGGTAAGTGCTGGTGAGAGAGGCATTTATTTCTGTGATTAGCAATAAGAATGATGGACGACAATAATGTGTGTGAGGGTGGGTGTGTGTATGTGTGGGAAAAGCCTAAAACACTTAGTGGAAAATTTGAATTGGGGAATTAAGTGGCTGGTGAAAAATTTTGAACAGTAGAAAGGACATTAGTGACCAATACATTAAAAGAAAAATTAAATTTTGCACATTTTTCAAGTCATTAAAAATCTTCATTAAATTTTAATAAGAAAGCTATAAGGCGTTGATTTTTTAAACGAATATTTTTGTGGGCATAATTCTACAAACCGATTTATGTTAACCATTATGTGCACCAAATACAAACTTCAGCAATTTTTAATGGCGATTTTTCCTAAAATCTGTAAGATCCAAAAAGTGGGCCGATACTGATAACGCATGGTAGAGTTTACTGTATTTTAGATTGCAAAGTTATATGAGGCTATGCCTAAAGGGGGACCAATATTGATTACATAGTATAGGAAATAGTGAATATTTGGGGATATCATTATTATATATTATATGCCTAATTAATGACCGGTATATGCCAATTTTGAACCCAATATTTTAATTGTTTATCTCAATTCTTTCCTTCAGGAGGTATCACTATATTGAGGAGATGCCTAAATTTATCACAATATCTTTAAAAGGCGGAATGCTTACAACAGATGGCTAGATAGTCTTTGTAGGGTAAAAATTGACTATTCCCCGTAACGACTACCCAACCCCAACACACAGAACATCAGATAACTATTTTAATATAAACCAGTAAGGAAAGTAGTATAGTCGGACTGGGCCGACTATATGATACCCTTCACCGCTTTGGGAATATTCTACATATGTATCCTAACAGACGTCGCCTTTTCAAAGGGACATTAAATTTGAATTTGAACGAACTTAAATATGCGATCTTTATCTATAAGTAAACTGACTAACATCAATTGCATCACACGCCATTCGGCAACCTATTCTAAATTTTGTAAATAGATTTATAGCAAACTTTACACACGCTCTTTGGTATGCTTCAGTGTTTAAAATGTTTCAACCAGCCACCCATAGATTATTTGGTGTAAAGTCAATATGAATAGGCCGAAATTATATATGGGAGCTAATCAGAACCGATTTCAAAAAAACTTCTAGATATTAATTTTTATTAATTTCTGTAGGTTTTGTCAATCGGCCTAGGTATGGGCCTTTAGTGTACCATTTACTTAAAATCGGACAAAAATATATATAGAAGGTATATGTAAATCTTAACCAATTTCAAGAAAACTTGGCACACGAAAGGTTATAGTAACAGTACATTGTACAAAATTGTGTGCCGATCGGCCAATCTTTTGGTCTTTAGTGCACAATTTAAATTAAATCGGTCGAAAATATATATTGAAGCTATATCTAAATCTGAACCGATTTTCACGAAACTTAGCACGCATCATTCTGGGCCAAATTCAGTACCCTATGCCAAATTTCGTGCAAATCGAAAGATATATAGGGTCGTTGGACCCTAATTTACCTTAAATCGGGCAAAAATATATATTGGAGCTATATATAAATCTGACCCGATTTTCTCGAAACTTGGCACACATCATTCTTGGCACACAATTTCGTGCAAATCGAAAGATATATAGGGACTTTGGTGAACCATTTATCTTAAATCGGACGAAAATGTATATGGGAGCTATATCTAAATCTGAACCGATTTTTCCCATTTTTAATAGAGTTCGTCCTTGGGCCAATTAAGTGACCTGTGCCAAATTTCATCCAAATCGGATCATAAATGCGACCTGTATTTTGTTAACAAAAATACATGGACGGACGGACAGACGAACATGCATAAATCGACTCAGAAAGTGATTCTATGCATATTTTTAAAAGGAACCATGGGTCTATCTCGATTATTTTTGCCTGTTACAAACATATGCACAAAGACATAATACCCTGTACCACACAGTGGTGAAGGGTATAAAAAGGGGGTTATATGGGGACTACCCCTAAAAAGGGGGTGAATATTAATAATTTTAAGTGGGGAGATTTGTTACCATATACGACTACAAAATTCCAAATTTCAGCGAATTTGGTTGAAAAACGTGCACAAGAACCTCAAAATATCGAAAATTTGGGGTACCCTTATATGGGGGCTACCCGAAAAAATGGACCAATATTTATAATTTATAGTGGAGAGATTTGCTACCCAATAAGAACTAAAATTACTGAATTACAGCCAATTCGGTGAAAAAATTCGGTCAAAACACCCCAAAAACTGGGAATTGGGAGGTACCCTTATATGGGGACTACCAGAAAAAGTGGACCTATATTTATAATTTTTAGTGGGGAAATTTAGTACCCAATAAGAACCCAATGTACCAAATTTCAGCGAATTCGGTTGAAAACCCTAAAATACCGAAAATTAGGGGGCACCCTTATATGGGGGCTACCCGAAAAAAATTGACCTATATAGAGGTTTGCTACCCTATAAGAACTCAAAGTACCGAATTTCAGCGAATTCGGTGGAAAAATGCGACCAAACCCCCCAAAATACCGCAAAATTGGGGGTACCATTATAGGCTATCCGAAAATATGGACCCATATTTATAATTTTTAGTGGAGAGATTTGCTACCCAATAAGAACTCAATGTACCAAATTCAGTTGAAAAACATGTTTCAAGAACCTCAAATTACCGAAATTTGGGGCGTACCCTTATATGGGAGCTATGCCTAAAAGTGGACCGATAAAGCCCATCTTCAAACTTGACCTGCCTGCAAAATTTTGGCGATCTATCTCAATTCGTTTAGACGCTAGAGTGATTACAACAGACAGACGGGCGGACGGACGGACATGGCTATATCGTCACAGAATTTTACGCTGATCAGGAATATATATACTCTATAGGGTCGGAAATGATTATTTCGATGAGTTACAAATGGAAATGCAAAATTAATATGCGCTCCATACTATGGTGGATGGTATAAAAAACATTATCAAGAATTATAAGGCGTGGATTTAAACAAAATTTAACAAGAATTATAAGGCGTAGTTTTTATACCCTACACAAATATATCGTCAGGGTATTATAGCTTTGTGCAGCCCCAAGAGTTTGTAACGCCGCGAAATATTGGTCCTAGAACCACCTTTAAGTATACCGATCGTCATATCTCGACTAGCTGAGTCGATCTAGACATGTGTGTCCGTCCGTCTGTCCATTATAATTTGTAAACACGATACAGGCCACAATTATGGACCAATCTTCACGAAATTTTGTGTGTAGGGTGGGTTCTGGTCAATGAAGACCCCTATTGTTTTTGGTAAAGATCGGTTAATATTTAGAGAATGAAATGGACCAAATACAAGATTTTTGTCGGTTTTCTGATCGCTCCAGAGGCCGCAATTATGGCCCGAACATCGTGAAATTTTACATAGAGAAGGGGACAAAGAAAAGGCATGCCTGTTTTGATAAAGATCGGTCAATATTTAGCGGGTCAAATGGACCCTGACTTTTGTGTGAAAAATGACAAAATTTGGATTCTACGGCGTATATATTTACTCCTAAACCCGAGATGTTGATAGTATATTCAAGATGAGTGGCTGACCTTTAAATTGATACAAATTATATTGTCGTATGTTCTCGGATGTGGTAGTTACACTTAAATATTTACAGGTGCTTACGTATTTAGATATTATATAGTAACCCTTACGACACTGGAGGGCGGAAATATAACGCTGATCGATTTGACATTTTCCATGTGGTTCCAGTTATGGTCAAGGATAGCGCTTGTAATTTTCGGTGATTATCAGATAATAATTTTGGGATGAAGTGGACAGAAACCATAATTTGTTTGCAATTTTTCGAAGCGATATATAGGCCACAGTTATAAGCCGATTATCACCATACAACCCACGCTGAAGTCAATCTGGACAAGTAATAAGAAGGGCTGTAATGAATATTAGTAATATTCGGAAAATATGTCAGTGTATGGAAGATGTGCTATTGACCTCTAATCGGACAAGAGGGTGCAAATGTCACGTAATATTTCCAGGCTCGGAATAAAGTTCTTTAGAAAATTAGAACTCCGTCGTAGTTGTGTAGGGTATCGTATGGTCGGCCCCGTCCGACTATACTGCTCCGCTCACTGGTTTTAAATTATTATCGAAGCTATAAGTAATGGAGTTTTTAACTAATTATCAAAGCCATACATTTAACCCCAGTTTTTAAGCCGTTTCAGTTTCAATTTTACTCTCTTAGATGGTTTTTGAAAAGTCATATAAACCTAAAATATAAACCTCAATATATAAACCTAAAATCTTACTGTTATTATACCCTCCACCATAATATGGAGGGTATATTAATTTTGTTTTTCCGTTTGTAACTCATCGAAATAATCATTTCCGACCCTATAAAGTATATATATTCTTGATCAGCGTAAATTTCTATGACGATCTAGCCATGTCCGTTTGTCCGTCTGTCTGTCTGTTGTAATCACTCTAGCGTCTAAACGAATTGAGATAGATCGCCAAAATTTTGCATAGAGTCGTCTTTTATCTGCAGGCAGGTCAAGTTCGAAGATCGGCTTTATCGGTCCACGTTTAGGCATAGCTCTTATATAAGGGTATCCCCCATATTTTCGGTATTTTGGGGTTCTTGAGCGCGTTTTTCAACCGAATTCGCTGAAATTTGGTACATTGGGTTCTTATTGGGTACTCAATGTCTCCACAAAAAATTATAAATATAGGTCCACTTTTTCTGGTAGCCCCCATAAAACGGTACCTCCTAATTTTCAGTATTTTGGGTGTTTTGAACGTATTTTTCCGCTGAATTAGTTCTTAGTAGGTACCAAATCTCTCCACAAAAAATTATGAATATAGGTCCATTTTTTTCGGATAGCCCCCATATAAGGGTACCCCCCAAATGTCGGTATTTTGGGGCTCTTGAGCGCGTTTTTCAACCGATTTCGCTGAAATTTGGTACATTTGGTTCCTATTGGGTGCCAAATATCTCCACCGAAAATTATAAATATAGGTCCAATTTTTCTGGTAGCCCCCATATAAGGGTACCCCTAATTTTCGCTATTTTGAGGATCTTGAGCACGTTTTTCAACCGAATTCGCTGAAATTTGGTATTTTGTAGTTGTAATAACAAATTTTTCTACAAAAAATTTTTATTTATATTTATATGGGGTAGTCCCCATATAACCTCTTTTTTATATTAAAATAGTTATGCAATTTGTTCCGCGTTTTGGGTTTGGTTCTAAGACTCTGTTGTAACTATATCACCTGTGGAGGAATCGGGATAACCGTATTTAAACCTAGCCCCTGTGTGGGAGGTACCAGAAGGAGTGGACCGATATTCCCCATCTTCGAATTTGAACTAAGTTAGGAAGAAATAATAAGGCTGAGGGTATAATTATCCATTAAAAATTTCTGAAATTTGTATTATAGTTTACCTAGAAATGTCGGTATAGGTCCACTTTTTGATATGTTCCCTATATTTTCATTTCTAGTACCTGTCAGTATATCTATGGTGGAGGGTATCCAAAGTTCGGCCCGGCCGAACTTAACGCTTATTCACTTGTTTCTCATTCGTATTTTCCTTATCCCTTTGTTCTTTGCTTCTTCTTATATTTTTCAAATTAATTTTCATTTAAGAAACCTGTTGTTTTCCTAATGAACAACTGTTCTATATTATGACCTTTCATAATTTACTATGTTTTTTTTCTAATTTCGTTTTTCATTCTATTTCTCTTGTATTCTATTTTTGTCCTTGGCGCTTTTAATTTTCATTCAACGGGACTCCATTTGGCTTTTTCACTGGCTAACTAACTGCTTGTTGTTGTCGTCGTTGCTCCTGTTGTTCGACAAACTTAGATTTATGGAACGTATTAAATTTCAACATGAAAAAGCTGAGCAGGATCTGGAAGATTATTTAGGAAATCCCATCAATGCTTTTACATTAATTGAACGTGTGGTCAGAGATTGGAAGGATGTTGCCGATTTGTTGAGATTCAACGATGTTTCAGAGGGTATGTATGACAATAGTTGTATTCCATTGAAAGTTTATAAAAATCGAGAAAAATAGAAGATTCACAAATTAAAGCTATAAGATGTGTGAGTGGAAAATTATAATGTGAAAAATTGGAGAAATTTTGATAATGGGCGTTTGGGTGTTTTTATTAAACAAAGGAACACACCTAATAAAGAAAATATATATCTAAGCTAAAAATAAGTTTTGGATGTACGTACATAAATCAACCCCCAATAAACATGTGAGTTATTCCATTAATACCATACATACTGATACAGAAATTGGTGTTGTCGTCCTCGTCGTTGGACGAATGACATAGCTAGCTGAATGTTCATTCAGTGTATTGTCCTATTGTCCCAAAGCAGCCACCAGTTATAATAACACTGTGATACAAAACAAAACAAAAATTTTTTTCAAGGGTTCTAATGTACCAATTCCGTTTAGTTGGAGTCCCTGGACCACGAATATACCTTTGGTTTTTCTGGGTCACTTCGAAAATTAGTTTTATAACGGTAAATGTAGAGAAAAACGTGGTTTCATAGATTTTCACTTTGAAACGCGTATAACTTCTTTTCTTTCTAACGGATTTATATCATTCTTTTTTTCATTCGAAGAGTAGAATTTTTTCTTTCATACAAGGTATATATTTGGTAAATCGGTTGAGGATTGCCTGAGTTACAGTGGTTGAAATGTGAAAAAATACGCATAAAATGACAAAATTTATTTTTCTTCGGACTGTACGAAGAAATTATGACATCAAGCCGTATAAGTTTTATTATATTACGGGGAAGACAATTAAATAAGCTTTCGAAAATGCGAAAAATTAAAAAAATTGGTTAAAAAATGGACGACTTATACACATTTTTGTATTGATTCTATGCATATTCTCTAAAGGAAATATGCGTCTATCTCATTTTCTTTTGTCTGTTACAAACATAATGTGGAAACGAGGAAACGAGATAGACGCATATTTCCTTTAGAGAATATGCATAGAATCAATACAAAAATGTGTATAAGTCGTCCATTTTTTAACCGATTTTTTTCATTTTTCGCATTTTCGAAAGCTTATTTAATTGTCTTCCCCGTAATATGATAAAACTTATACGGCTTGATGTCATAATTTCTTCGTACAGTTCGAAGAAAACTAAATTTTGTCATTTTATGCGTATTTTTTCACATTTCAACCACTGTAACTCAGGCAATCCTCAACCGATTTACCAAATATATACATTGTTTGAAAGAAAAAATTCTACTCTTCGAAAGAAAAAAATAATAATATAAATCCGTTAGAAAGATAATAAGTTATACGCTTTTCAAAGTGAAAATCTATGAAACCACGTTTTTCTCTACATTTACCGTTATAAAACTAATTTTCGAAGTGACCCAGAAAAACCAAAGGTATATTCGTGGTCCAGGGACTCCAACTAAACGGAATTGGTACATTAGAACCCCTGAAAAATGTTCGTGTCGCACAGTGTAATGAATACTTGAAAACAATACCTGTTGCCAGTATGTGCACATACATCACATACATCTATAGATATAGGTAACTTTATGTAAATGGTGGTATTAAATGAACAAACTTTCATTCAAATAATGGGTTGGGTATACAAAGGGTCTAAAAATAACTAGACATCATAAATGGCGTTGAAAAGTTTCGAATAACGGATTGGTACTTATAATCTTTTCTAGATCCTATGCTAATTTTCTTCTAGGGTACCATGATACAAACCATGACACAAACGACTCAGAAATAGGGTTTTCACATCCATTCTTAAAAATAGCTGAGACTTTGTGTTACATTACAATTTTCGTAGATCTATGTCAAGTCATAATTTGTGTACCATCGGCCTTATAAGGGTCAAATACTTTGCTATGTTAAAATGTTCCTCAACTAAAACTTGATGTTAGACCTCAAGTTTCTATGGACCAAAATCTGTTTCACATAATTTAGAATCGGTTTGCGAATGTCCGTCTAGATGGCTGACTAATGCTAACATATGAATATGATTATGTTCATATGATTTCACATGAAGATAATGGATTATTCAATTTGATTCATGACATATGTAGATTGAGTGCTTCTATTGGCTATATAGGTTCATCACTTCAACTTTATATGGGGACTATATATATAGAGGCTAAAACCTTTAAAATACCGAAAATAGGGTGCTCAAATTATATGGTAACGATAAGCCAATATTGATAATTTTTGGTAGGCAGATTTTACATCCCAGAAGAACCCGACAAATCATATTAGAACCAATTCTATTAAAAAAACCTGTCCCAATTATTGAGAAATCTATTATTTTTGGTAAGGAGATTTTCTACTTAATAAGAATTGAAAATATAAATATGCAGAAAATTTGGTTGAAAAAACTAACTTCTGAAAATATCGAACTTCCGATGTAGCGAAGCTTATGGACTACCCTAAAACGTATACCAATATTTTCTAAAGTGAAATTCCAAAATATTAAGTTATTGCTGATTATGCCCAAATGATACCCTAAAGCATTGGCCCGACATTCCGAAGCATGTTAAATGAAGTTCTATAGTTCATATAAAAATAATGGATTTCGTTTCCCCCAACCTAATATATATACATATATTATTTATAGGGCCTAATGTGAATATTTCAAGGATTTAAGTGTAGAAATGATAAACCAAGCAGTTGACAAGAAATGCAGCAAGCAGTGAATGGAGCAATATAATCGGACGGGGCCGACCATTTAATACCCTAAACAACCACCACTGAGCTCTAAGTGTCTAAACAGTTACTTCCAAAGATTCAAATTTTGTTATTTTACACGAAAAAATTGCTGTTTATTTTAACCCGCTAAATATTGACCGTTCATTAACATGACGGACATTTAAGTTAGTTGGTCAGATCGCCTTTCCCCATGGAAAATTGATGATGTCCGAATTGTTGTTATGTGGTCTAGAGCCCTTTAGGAGTGAATATATACGCCATAGAATAACAATTTTGTAATTTTTGACACAATATTATGGGTCCATTTGAGCCGCTAAATATTGACAGATCTTCATCAAAATAGTCATGCTTATTCTATGGTAAGACCTCTTTCTCTGTGTAAAATTTCGATGTTCGTTTCGATGTTGATCATAGTACACAGACGGACACACATGTCTAGATCGACTCAGCTAGTCGAGATATGACGATCGGTATTTTAAAAGGTGGGACTAGGAGCAATATTTAGAGGCGTTATAAACTCTTGGCCACACAAAGCTATAATGCGCTTACAATATATTTGTGTAGGGTATAATAATTTGTGCCAACTTAACGATCAACCACTCCTTTAGGATATATTGTAAACTTCACTGGTCAAAGTCAAAGTCCGTGAGGAGCAAATATATACGGCATAGAATGCAAACTTTGCCGTTTTCACACAAAAGCCTGGGTCCGATGAAAAGATCCATGCTTGTTGCTTGATCAGTTCCCTTTTTTCGTGTAAAATTTCGTAATGTTCGGGTCATAATTGCGTCCTTTATAGCCATTTAATTCTATAAATATTAACCGGTATAATCAGCTGTTATATGACTCAAGGAGAAACCTTTTGGAAATTGGTAGAAATCTGTTCAGATTTATAGCTACCCTATATATTTGTATCAGATTCCACGAAGGTAGACCAAATACGACGAACATGAACATCTCGCAGGAGGTCATTGAGGCTATAATGATGAGTTTCAAGAGTTTGGAAGAACGACATTTTCATTTTGTTAAAATCGGTCCAGATTTAAATATCGCTCCCATATATACTCCGATTTTATGTGCAATATAATCCCTGCGTGAATAGTGTATATAAATTTTGCTTTAAATGTTTTGTATGTAATTGTACTATACATTTTCCTCCGAGAGGAAATCGGCAGTATGTAATTGTACTATACAGTTTCCTCCGAGAGGAAATCGGCAGTTTTGTTCGATTTTTATTTAAGGGTCCATGGATGATACTTTTTCGGTCCGATCGAGAGGATTATGTGCACATATAACCAGAATCATTACAGAGGAACATTTGTAATGCCGTATCTTGTGTATAATATAATCGGCATCGTCCACATCTTCTCATTTCCTCATTGTGTTGGTTATAAAAAGTTCAGACCTGGCGAACATAGAGACATTCCATGGCGAACATAGAGACATTGCATGTTAGTAAAATTCGAGCAAAAAAACACCTCGTTTAATGTCACAAATACCATATATCCGGCCAGGTGCTATATCAAGAAGTGTGTGTCAGAAGCGTTTCGAGAATTCTGATGGGTTACTTTAAAGGCGCCGAAATAGTTATTGATGACTTAATAAACGGTTTATTTCTTTGATCGCACCTCGTATATGAAAAATGTTCCTCTAATTGTACTGGTCCGTTGTTAATGATATAAGATGTTAACTCCATGTTAACGGAGTCCTTGCGCAACCTTTCAGAACCAACACGAAATGTATAATCATTTTTAATTTAGTTTATATTTATCTATTCTACAATTTTATTACCACTCAACCCTTATATCCATATATGTATCTAAAATAGAAAAATATGTTTGTTACCCATTCATCATATAACTTTGTTATTCACGTTCTCATTTTTTTCGTTTCGTCGTCTATTTTTAGAACTAATGGACTCGTTGACCCAATTAAGAAAAAAATCACCATTGCCGGATGAAAATGAACTAAGGGGAGCCATACTTGGTTTAGCCAGGTTGCAGGATATCTATGATATCGATCCAGAGGATATGGCCAATGGCAAGGGTTACGGGTGAGTTAGTTGGTTATGACGGTGATGATGATGATGAGATGTGGTGGTTTAATTTAAAATTAAATTCAACAAAAAATTTCAATGAAGCGAAAACCGAGTGTATAACAACAACAGTTACATTTTTCGTTAGTCATATAAATAAATGTGAAAGTAGATTGGAGGAGAAAAATATATAATGGATTGTGAATGTGATGGATATGACATAAGGGCAATATTGTGGTAGACAAATATGTTTCAAAATTAGTATGAACTTTATTACAAAATATTTAAAAAATCTGTAATTCAGTTTTTTTTATTTAGATAAATTAATACATTTAAATTTTTACCACTTTAGTAATTCGTAAGACGTTTCCAATAACGATTCCCGGGCTGTGTCGTTAATGGAAAATTTTCAATAGAATTTTGCATTAATTCTAAACTTAGTCAGAATGCTCTTAAGAATATTATTTTCCAATTATATAACATTCGTAGAAGATCTTCAGAAGGCATTCAGGAATTCGTACAGTATATAGCAGGGCTGCACGAAGTTTTCCGAGAAAAAAATCTTCTAAACGTATGCCGAAAACAGAAAAGTGTCCGAAGTCTATAAGGAAAAATTTTTGGTAAACGATCTTTAGAATTTTATTGAAGATCCACATAAGGTCCACTGTTTATAGGAGATATTCAGGCTTGTGTTATTACAGAATACCTTTAGGATGTATATTTTATATAGAAGGCTGTCTATAGATCTACTATTCTCGAGGTCTGATGATTATAGAATATCATCAGATTATTCATCATATTGAAGAACAATTAGAAGGTAAATTGTCAATGTCCTTCAATGTTCTTCAATCTAAGATATTGAGAGGATATTTAAAAGATTATTGTTTAGTTGGGTTCTTGGAGGGCGAAAAACAAATTTTCAAAAGAAAACAGCAAGGAGCCATTGTGCACTAATTCGTCCTAATCAGACAAACTTTAGTTATAAAAAAATATGAAAGGTATATCTAAACCTGAAACGCCTTCAATCCAATACGCTAGACAATATTTCATGAAAAGCGAACAGACATAGGCTCCTCCATTCGCACCATTTGCATAAGATCGGACAAAAATATATGAGGGATCTGTACCGATTTCAACAACAAAATATCGTGAAAATAGAACATTGTGCACAAATTCCAAATCGGATCATAAATGAGTACAGGTCGCACAAAAATACATGGACGGACGGATGGACAGACGGACATGCATAAATCGACTCAGAAAGTGATTCTATGCATATTCTCAAAAAAACCATGGGTCTATCTCGATTCCTTTTGCCTGTTACAAACATATGCACAAAGACATAATACCCTGTACCACAGTGTGGTGAAGGGTATAAACATCGGAAAAGCTACATGTTTAGACCACCAAATAAAGATCCCACCCATTTTAAAGGATTTAGTTTCATTGGCAAAATATTCTCAGTATAGGTTCATATGTTGACATAACTCTAATATAAAGGGCCAGCACCCATTTTCAATTTTATGAAAGTTTTAACCGACCTTTCCCAACGAAGTGGCTGTAAAGACATCTTCGCAGACAATTTTTGATGAAGTTCCCAGTAATGAGATATTTCTCATATAAGGGTCCCGTAATATTTTCGGTATTTTGTAGGTTTTAATCTCATTTTCCCAACGAAGTGTCTGTAATTTGACTTCCGGGTTCTCGTAGGATAAAAACATATCTTTGCCAAAAATCGATATAGGTCATGTTTTTACATACCGCCATATAAAGGTCCCGTTCTATTTTCTGTATTTTGAAGTTTTTAGCCGCATTTTCCCAAGAAGTGGGTGTAAATTAGCATTCCAAGTTCTTTGAGTGGGAAAAATATATTCGCAAACAATTTTGGACCTAGCTTTGACATAGCTCAAATATAAAGGCCCCGCACCATATTCGACATTTTGAAGGGTCATTTCCCCACCGAAGTGACTGTAATTTTGCATTCTGGGTTCTTGGAGTCTGAAAAACATCTTAATCTTATATGCAGAAAAATGTCCATATAGATCCACTTGCCCCCAAATAAAGGGCCTTATTTTCTGTCCGAATTGGCAGTAAGTTGATATTGTCCCGCCTCATTTTGTAAGCATTATCAAAAAAAAAAAAAAAAAATTGTGTACTGAACATTTTTGACACAGGTCCAAGTTTCGGCATAGCCTTATGAAAAAAGTAAAGCCCGGGTTAAATTTTAGGGCCATGTTAGGGCATATTCCTGTTATAAGGGTTCGGTTCCCTATTTTGAAGATTTATTTGCATTTGCTCATCGAAGTGGAACTTCTCTTTTAATATAGGTCCATATTTTTTTATATCATGCATTCGAAGTTCGTACCTTATTTTCAAAGTTCGCCTTGGCCGAACTTGACGCAATTTTTTATTGTTTTACTTCTATTTTATATCCTCATTTTTTCTTTCCAGTCAACCGCTCAACTGGAGGGAATGCCTCGAAATAGCGACAACACTAATGGATGAATTCCGCATGGATTTAGCCGTAAATTGGCTTCAACAAGCCGATAGAAAATTACAGAACAGCAATGATTCCGCAGATATTAAAGATTACTTTGCGACACAAATTAAAGAACATTTGGCCAGAGTACACCATTCGATGGGCGACAAAGAAAAAGCTCAACAGCACTTAAATGCCATTTCGAAAAATGCGGACACTAAATTGACAATGAAAATGTTAAACCGATTAACGTATGACAAAGAAAAATACACACCCTTCAAGGAGAGTGATCGTCATCAAAATTATGCCAGATTGTGTCAGGGAAAATCTAAGAATATTACAAAACTAAGCTGTTACTTAGATTCGAAAATACATCCATATTTTGTTCTTAATCCATTACAAGTTGAACCGTTGCTCATGGAACCGTATATACGCCTCTATCATAATCTACTTAATGATGAACAAGTTACAAAATTATTCGATCATGCTAAGCAGCGATTTTTCCGATCTGAAGTTATAAAGGCACCTGGAGAAAATGAAGTCACCGAAAAACGTGTAAGTCAGCAAACATGGGTGGCTCCACGAGAAACTCCCATCTCGGCTTATATGTATCGTTTAGTTGGTCTTATTACCGGCTTTAATATGACCAATGTGGAACAAATGCAGGTTGCGAATTATGGTATTGGAGGCCTGTATGTACCGCATTATGATTACATGAATGTAAGTTGGGAATAATTATTAAATTAAATATTTTTTTTTTGAACAGTCGAACAGTTAATTTTTTTTATTGAGTTACCTCTATAGAACACTGAACTTGTTGCTGGCCTTTATGGCGATAGAATTACAACCAGTATGTTTTATGTAAGTAAAATATAACTTAATATTTTTTGTAAGTAAAATAAACCTTAATATTAAAACATCCTCCTTTATTCACATTAGCTCTCTGATGTCACCCAAGGTGGTTATACCATTTTTCCTGAATTGGATGTATATTTGAAACCCGTAAAAGGTGCCATGGTGATGTGGCCCAATCTACACAGATCTGTCGACCCAGATCCAAGAACATTACATGGGGGATGTCCTGTCCTGAAGGGTACCAAACGAAGTATGTTTTCATTTTAGTGATGGTTAAGATTGTATTTTATTAATTTCATTGTTATGTTTTCTTTTACAGTTGCTAACATATGGTCCCATTCCGGGTTTCAGGATATAGCAAGACCCTGTGGCTTGACAAACGATGCAATTTTGTAAAAATCTATGTAAATAAGAAATTAATTCAAATAAATATAATATTTTTAGATATAAATAAAAATATTGTTTTATAACCTCGTTCCTTTTTCGAAGTCTTTGCCATATTCACATTATGTAATCATAGAGAAGGCACACGAGTTTTTGGGAAATTTTACTAAGAGGTATGAGTAGTTCATATGGCAGACCTCGGACAAGTGGCACGAATGTATAATTGATTGCAAATCGAACCATAAATAGTACCCTTTTGAACAATTGTAAAAATTAATAAGAAATGTGGTCCATTGAAATATAAAGAGAAAATAAAATACAAAATTACAGATACTCAGTTTGAAAAAGAATATACCGAATATTAAGCTGGACCATTGTATGGGGCTAAAAAATCACATCGACCTACGTTGAAAAATATGTCAAATACGGCTAAAAGCATCAAAGCATCATCACTTCAGTGGGAAATTGCAGCTAAGGTCATAACGAATGTCGGGGTGGAATGTTAATGTGGAGTCTATGCAAAAACATGGTTCTCCATTGAAAATTTTCTGCTGACATATTTATGTATATTTATTTATAGCATCAAAAGTAAGCATACCTCTGAACTAATATATAGTTTCTATGCATATCTTAAATAAATTGGTTCATAAACGTGTGTATTATACTCAGTCTGTATTACACATTCAATCTTAAATGACCAGGATTTAAAAAATTAATTCAAATCAAGAATTTTCGACTAATAATCATTTTGTCAGTTTGAAAAAAAAAACATTTCAATTAGATTTTTTTTTTTGTTTTTAGGTTTCAAAATTTTTACGTCGGTAAAAATATTGGTTCGGTAAAAATATAAAGTTGTGATGTATTATTTTTGAAACCCTTTTTTGGCAATAAAACAAAGATACAAAATTTCAAGCTAGCAAGGATTATGCAGCAGGGATCTTTGTGATATTAATCGGAGCGAGAAAGGGATTCAAACCATATTATTGGCAAACTGGTTGTTATGTAAAGGTGGTAATGGGAATGAAGGGTACTGCAGTAGGTTTTGCAGAAGGGTAACTTCCATCAAATGGTAGGTTCTTTAAAAAAAAAACATTGCATTTATGTGGACTACCCTATGTTAATACTTAAGTAGGGGCAGCGAAGCGCCACTGGTTCAGCTAGTAAAATATATTTATCACCTTCGATAGTCTGGGATGCAAAATATCAAACCATGGACCTATTTCCAAAAACCCGTGCAAAAATATTTTCAGCCAACTAGAACTTGGAAACAAATTAAACCAATTTGTTGGAAATATGCGGCATAAACCTTCAACATACTAAAAATAGAGCGAGCAATTGTATGGGGACTATGTAAAAACTTGAATAGTTTTTAATTCAACAGGAATTCAGGATGACAAAATTGCAGCCACAGCTATTGGAAAATGCGGTAAATTTTAAAAAATAACTATAATATTGTGGGCCTGTATATTGGGTCTATGTCAAACCATGGGCCTCTATTGGAAATCTTGTGCAACTTCCAAAATATGGAAATCCAAAGGAGGAGGAGGAGGCAAAATAGGCGGATATGTCTAAACATGGTCTTATATTTATTATATTGGGCACAGATTTATTATTTATTTATAGGGAAAGGGGCGGGATTTTGTATGGGATCTATGTCAAAACATGGACCTATATTGATAGTTTTCTGCATAGATGTACGCCAGACCTTGAAACCCGAGTTCATAGTCTGGGAAAATCGCCATATGTCATTGTGCGATGAATTTATTCTGGTAACTTCAAAACTTACGACGAAAAAGCTCTATGCGGCTATAGCAAATTCATTTACAGATGACATGTCTGCAATCGAATCGAACGAGTTATATTTTTGTAAAACATGCCGTCCGTTTATCTCGAGCCATTATGCGTCTATTATGTCCATATTTTCTTGAACTGTAATCCGAACACGACAGACGAAATTTGTTTCTTTTAAAAAATATACCTCGTAAACTGTTAGCTTTCTAAAATACAAGGACAAGAAATCGATATACGCATTTTTTAGACCTTTTCACTTTTTCCGAACATTGTTCTGAAAACCTACAGATACTAAAATATTTCTAATAAATTGTAAATTATAAAAAAAGACGACAGATTTGTCCGAAATGTTACCGAAATATGGATTCTATACGTTTTTGTGATTGCTACGAAATCTTAAATAATATATAAATCCCTTATATATCTTTATTCGACTTGAATTTAGTTTTATTCAAGTCGGTCCCGTTTTTGATATAGTTCCGACAAATCATTCCAATTGATATGATCTTAATATTTAACTTCTTCTGCTGCATTTCAATGGTTAACCTAAAATGCTACGCCTATATACATTATTGCAGGTTAAAAAACGTACGTACTATCAGACCCAGCTTAATCATTTTTAAGAGAAGTTAGTAAAATCGTGTTTATGAGTCTGTCAATTACTTTCTATTGCTTAGTGTTGCTTTATTAACTTTTTAGAACATAGAAAATCAAAATTAAACACAGAAATAACTTAACATGTGACTCCTTTTTCAATTGTTGGTATAAAAGGCTTAAGAGTGCCTTTCATATACCACCAACTTTCGGGCTTTCATTGTGAGCTATATTGCATGCTACATACCAAACAGAATCATAAACAAGTGGTTAATCGAATTTTGCACTGTTCTACGTTTTACAATTGGTTAAAAAAGAGTGGATGGAATCGCAGATTCATTCTCGTAGTGCACTACATTGCATTACTAGATTCTCTATTCAAATTCATTTGTATGTCCTTCAAAATAAAAAAAATTAATTTCGTAAATTAGAAACAATAACAAGATTCCTAAACTCTGTTACTCAACATTTATTATTCGCAGAAAACAATTTTCTTTTTTCACAAATTCATTACATCCATCCTTGCTACACATACAAATCAAAATAAACATCAAGTTACTAACTTACCAACATCCGTTGTAAATTTAAGAGATTAGTTTCCAATAAGAGTTCAACAACAGAACGAAAGAGATCGAGCGACGAACGACAACCAAAACAAAACAGAAAAAAAAACGACACAAAGAAATGAACATGCACTCCACGAAAGAAACACGAGCGAATGAAATTCATATTTGCACTTTTCACTCGGCACAACTGATATTGGAGAGCAGCCGGGAAAAAACAACAACGATGTCCCCAACGACAAGCAAATTGCTAATAACTTTAGCGAACACCATTTGTGACCCGGAAAAAAATACATTTATAAATAAAACATTTAAACACTTCTTTAAACACACGTAATATTTTATTCAAGGATTTGTTAAAAACCATTATAAAACCGCACAAACGAATATTTCCTAATTTAATTGAAAGAAAACGCGTAACACGACACGACCAACGAGAACACACAACCGACACGAAGAAATGCAAAAATAAACTGAGCTCGAGCTAGAATAGTGTTGCCAGAAGTGACTACTGAATAGATAAATTTGCACTCTTGTGATGGCAATTACAGCGGTGATATTCCGTATGTTGTTTATACGAAACCTTCTTAGAACTGAGAGGCTAAAAAAACTTTAAAATTTAAGCAATATTTTGTTTTTGTGTTAAAGTGTGGCTAGCCAAATAAATAAGTAAATTTTGTATTTCCTAATATTTACCTGTAATTTCAAGCATTTAAAAAATATGAACAAAAATTTATTGAAAAGTACATATTATTATATATTATTGTAGAATCTTCGATAATTACCAAATACCTGGAAAAAGCTGTGCATTTGTTTAAATAGACAAAACAACCTATTGTCCCATTATTGCTGTCGGTAAAGAGACCCCATTTAATAAGAAGACTAATATGTACGCAATTACAAAATGATTTACAAATAATGTTCAATTGCTTTGTAAAAAAAACTGATGGTGGCATTTTTCGAAAACAACCATATTGGTTGTTCCGAACACGTGGAGGAAAAAAATAGACGAAATATCTTCTGGAGCTATGAAAAGAAAATAAGTTCCTTTTTCTGTAACGATTGCCGCAGAAGTGTAAGACGCCCAGGGAAAGAAATTTCATATATTTACAACAATGAAGTTAAACACAGTATTTTGCACAGTATTCTTACACCTTAATATAACATTTTCAAGTGTTTATTAAAACAAGAAACACAAACGTATGGTTACTTATTCAATACCATCGATCGATTCGGATACTTTACTATATTCTCGATATGTTTTCACACATTTTTAGCACAAGAAAAATGACGTATGGCAATAATTTGCTACCAGAAAGTATTGGGACACATTCATTTATGGGAACCACACATAAATCTTACGATGCATAAGGGCGTAAAGGAGCATTATATAACAAGACAAGAAGAACGTGATTTACATTAAAAAGATTTGACAAAGATTATTAATTTAAAATCGAGATGAGGTTAAACAATTCGAGATGTGCTTCAAAGCAAAATAAATTAGTATTGATTAGCGCGAAGGTTTAAGAGTTACATACAGTTTTTATTATACCTTTTTATGTAAGGTACACGGATATAAGAACATTTTATATAAGACGGGTCCCACCTTCGGAGTTGATGTGGGCTTGGTAAAGATAAAAGATTGTTCAAAGTTTGGTTCAAAGTGGACACTCCATTCGCCTGATATTGGATTTATAAATATTGAAAATGTTGTGACGTACCAGAGAATAGTGCAGACGGGTCTCAACTTCGGAGTTGATATAGGCTTGGTAAAGGTGATAGGTTGTGCAAGGTTTGTTTCAAATCAGACGTTCCATTCGCCTGATATTGGATTTATAACCAGTGAGCGGAGCAGTATAGTCGGACGGGGCCGACCATACGATACCCTACACAACTACCACGGAACTCAAACATTCTGTGGATTTTTATTCCGAGCCTGGGCAATATTTCGTAATAGTTTCACCCTTTTGCCCAATTAGAAATAAACAGCACCCCTTCCTTATAATGACATATATTCCAAATATTACTAATATTCAGTACAGCCCTTCTAATTACTTGTCCAGA